CGTGAGTCATCATGCCCAGCCTTTTTTTTTTTTTTTGAGATGGAGTTTCACTCTTATTGCCCAGGCTGGAGTGCAATGGCGCGATCTCAGCTCACCACAACCTCCACCTCCCGGGTTCAAGTGACTCTCCTGCCTCAGCCTCCTGAGTAACTGAGATTACAGGCGTGTGCCACCACGCCTGGCTAATTTTGTATTTTTAGTAGAGATGGAGTTTCTCCATGTTGGTCAGGGTGGTCTCGAGCTCCCAACCTCAGGTGGTCCACCCCACCTCAGCCTCCCAAAGTGCTGGAATTACAGATTGAGCCACTGCGCCTGGCCTTGCCTCACTCTTAAACGAACCCCAGAGTAATTCTCCTTCCTTTATCCGTCCACGTCCCTCTTCCCACCAAACCAGGCAATTGGCAGATGGTCACAGCCTGCAAACTGCTCTGTAAATGAATTTTAACCAGCAGGGACTGGAGAGATGGCAGCTTGAATCTCTGCTTCAACCCCCTCTTCTTCTGGATCATACAGGGAAGCTGATGGCATTCTGAAACCTCTTCCCAAGAAAAGCATTGACACAGGGATGGGCCTGGAGCGACTGGTATCAGTGCTGCAGAATAAGATGTCCAACTATGACACTGACCTTTTTGTCCCTTACTTTGAAGCCATTCAGAAGGTACTGGTCCTATTGCAAACATTGCAAACTTCTGTGGAGTTTTCCAGGCTGGGTTCTTAACAGTGCTGTCAAAGAAAAAATGACCACATGCTTTGCCAGCTAAGGGTACCCATTTCCATTTGCTACTTCATTGTTAATAATGTGAGGCTCTAGACCTGAGACAGTGTAATTTTTGAGTGTAGGGACTGGCTGGAGTCTCTCCACTTCCCCAGTGTCACATTCTTGGGGTTATAGGATCTGGCAAGACGGGCATCCTTTCTCCTAATGCTCCTCAATCCTCTAGGAACCTCCTTGGGTGAGGTAGCCCCAGAAAGGCTGCTTCCTAAAGGGCTGCCTCCTGATTCTTACCTGTAGGGCACAGGTGCCCGACCGTACACCGGGAAGGTTGGCGCTGAGGATGCTGATGGGATTGACATGGCCTACCGGGTGCTGGCTGACCACGCTCGGACCATCACTGTGGCACTGGCTGATGGTGGCCGGCCTGACAACACAGGGCGCGGGTAAGTATGCTGCACACTGGGTAGTGTTTGGACTGGCACCACATGTGCTATGTATGACTCTCTATGAAACTTTTTTTTTTGTGAGATGGAGTGTTACTCTGTGGCCCAGGCTGGAGTGCAATGGTGTGATCTCGGCTCACTGCAACCTCTGCCTCCTGGGTTCAGGCGATTCTGCCTCAGCCTCCCAAGTAGCTGGGATTACAGGTGCACACCACCATGCCTGGCTTATTTTTGTAATTTTAGTAGAGATGGTTGTTTTTTTTGTTTGTTTGTTTTTTTGAGACGGAGTCTCGCTATGTCGCCCAGGCTGGAGTGCAGTGGTGTGATCTCGGCTCACTGCAAGCTCCGCCTCCCAGGTTCATGCCATTCTCCTGCCTCAGCCTCCCGAGTAGCTGGGACTGCAGGCACCCGCTACTGCGCCCAGCTAGTTTTTTGTATTTTTAGTAGAGATGGAGTTTCACCGTGTTAGCCAGGATGGTCTCGATCTCCTGACCTCGTGATCCACCCACCTCGACCTCCCAAAGTGCTGGGATTACAGGCATGAGCCACGGCGCCTGGCCTTTTGTTGTTGTTTTTGAGACAGTTTCGCTTTTGTTGCCCGGGCTGAGTGCAATTTCCCGATCTCGGCTCACCGCATCCTCCACCTCTCGGGTTCAAGCGATTCATCTGCCTCAGCCTCCCGAGTAGATGGGATTACAGGCATGTGCCACCATGCCTAACTTGGTATTTTTAGTAAAGATGGGGTTTCTCCATGTTGGTCAGGCTGGTCTCAGACTCCCAACCTCAGGTGATCCGCCCGCCTCGGCCTTCCAAAGTGCTGGGCTTACAGGTGTGAGCCACTGTGCCCAGCCAGAGATGGGGTTCTGCCATGTTGGCCAGGCTGGTCTCGAACTCCTGACCTCAGATGATCCACCCGCCATGGCCTCCCAAAGTGCTGGGATTACAGGTGTCAGCCACCACGCCTGGGCTTTTTATGAAACTTAAAGCCATCCTTCGTTATTGTTTCCTTGTCTTTTGGGCAGTTGGAAGAATCCCTCCACCGCTTTTTTTTTTTTTTTTTTTTTTTTTT